AACAACCAACAACCAGCAACCAACAACCACAACAACAAAGAACAACAACCAACAACCACGCCAACAACAACAACAACAACAACAACAACAACAACCGCGACAGTGACAACGACAACAACACCAACAACAACAACGACAAACTACAACAGGCACCAGCACCAGCACCAGCACCAGCAACAGCACCAGCACCAGCAGCAGCAGCAGCAGCAGCAGCAGCAGCAGCACCAGCAGCAGCACCAGCAGCACCAGCAGCAGCAGCAGCAGCAGCAGCAGCACCAGCACCAGCACCAGCAGCAGCAGCAGCAGCAGCAGCAGCACCAGCAGCAGCACCAGCAGCAGCACCAGCAGCAGCACCAGCAGCAGCAGCAGCAGCAGCAGCAGCACCAGCAGCAGCACCAGCAGCAGCACCAGCAGCAGCGCCAGCAGCAGCAGCAGCAGCACCAGCAGCAGCACCAGCAGCAGCAGCAGCAGCAGCAGCAGCAGCACCAGCAGCAGCACCAGCAGCAGCACCAGCAGCAGCACCAGCAGGTCCAAGGCCCCAAGCACTAGCTCCAGCAAGGCGACACAGCACCGCACCTGCACCGCAGACCAGCACCGCACCTCAGCAGCAGCAGCAACGAAGAGGCAGCTGCTTAGCAGCTAGCGGTGGCAGACTAGCACCCACCAGCACCAGCACCAGCAGCAGCAGCAGCAGCAGCAGCAGCAGCAGCAGCACCAGCAGCACCAGCAGCACAAGCAGCACCAGCAGCACCAGCAGCAGCAGCAGCAGCAGCAGCAGCAGCAGCAGCAGCAGCAGCAGCAGCAGCAGCACCAGCACCAGCAACAGCAACAGCAACAGCAACAGCAACAGCAACAGCAACAGCAACAGCAACAACAACAGCACCAGCGCCAGCACCAGCAACAGCACCAGCAACAGCACCAACAACAGCACCAACAACAGCACCAACAACAGCACCAACAACAGCACCAACAACAGCACCAACAACAGCACCACCAACACCACCAACACCACCAACACCACCAACACCACCAACACCAACAACACCAACAACACCAACAACACCAACAACACCAACAACACCAACAACACCAACAACACCAACAACACCAACAACACCAACAACACCAGCAACACCAGCAACACCAACAACACCAACAACACCAACAACACCAACAACACCAACAACACCAACAAGAAAGAACAAAGAACAAAGAACAAAGAACCAAGAACAAAGAACAAAGAACAAAAAATAAAAAAACAAAGAACAAAGAACAAAGAACAAAGAACAAAGAACAAAGAACAAAGAACAAAGAACAAAGAACAAAGAACAAAGAACAAACAACAACCAACAACCAACAACCAACAACCAACCAACCAGCCAACAACCAACAACCAACAACCAACAACCATCAACCATCAACCATCAACCATCAACCATCAACCAGCAACCAGCAACCAGCAACCCGCAACCAGCAACCAACCACCAACAACCAACAACCAACAACCGACAACCGACAACCAACAACCAACAACCAACAACCAACAACCAACAACCAACAACCAACAACCAACAACCAACAACCAACAACCAACAACCAACAACAACAACAACACCAACACCAACACCAACACCAACACCAACACCAACACCAACACCAACAACGACAACAACAACAACAAAGCAGCCAACAAGAACGAACAACCAACAACCAAAAACCATAATATTAATAACCAACAACAACCAACCAACCAGCCAACCAACCAACCAACCAGCAAACAAACAAACAACCAAACAACAACAACAACCAACAACCAACAACCAACGACCAACAACCAACAACCAACAACGAACAACCACAACAACAACAACCGCGACAAACTACAACAGGCAACAACAAGCAACAACAACAACAACAACAGCAACAGCAACAGCAACAGCAACAGCAACAGCAACAACAACAACAAACCACAACAAACAATGATAACAAGAAGGGCAAGAACAACAACCAGCCAACCAGCCAGCCGACTGTCCAACTGGCCGGCCGACCGGCCTACAATTCAATACACCAACAACAACAGCACCCGCACCAACAACAGCACCAGCAACACAAACAACAAGAAGAACAAGCAGAACCACAAAATCAGCAGCATCGACAAGAACAACATCAACAACAGCAACAACAACAAGCGTACAAGAAACAACCAAACAACCAACCGCAAACAACAACCAGCCAACATCCACGGGATCAAGAAACAACAGCCAACAACAAACAACAAACAACAAGCAACAAGCAACAAGCAACAGAGAACAAGCAAAAAACCAGCACACAACAAACAACAAACAACAAGCCCAGCAACAGCAAAGCAACGGGGCAGCAGCAACCACAACACCAAGAACAACCACAACAAACAGCATGGCAGTCTCTTTCTCCTGGCTATGATGCGGAACGCTTTGATGAAATCCAGAAAGCTACTGAACACGACGCGCATCTGACAAACGCCTGCGACTAACCAGAAACATTTTGGAAGAACAAGCTGCCTAGATTGGCCACGGCACCATTTTTGCCAGTGCGCTTTCACTGCGCTGATCCGCACACTCAGGCTTCTGAGCCAAGTGATAAAATCGCTCTGTCGCCGTTTTCCTAACGCCGTGAGGAGCGAGATTTGCGTCAGTTTTGTTTCTTGTTTGTTCTGTGCTTGATTCCAACAGATCCACTCACGTGCGATTCCCGTTTGCCACGTGGCTCAAGCCTGGTGCAAGTAAGAGACTACAGCTTGCGTAGCAAAACGGTCTCTACAGCTTGCTGACTTGTGCTATTGGTATGTTTATCTCCATGCAGAAGCCAAATGCTGCTTTTACATAGTGGTCTTCTACCTCAAACATTATACACTTGGCACAGTAGGCCCAAATTCGGGCGGGGTGGGGCGGCGCGCGTCCACGTGTGCACTGAGGTCTCTGCGTCTCATGTCAAAGGAAGCGCCGGGCGCGCCGCAATCAGTTCGCGTTGCGTGTCAATGCGTTCATCTTCCGCAGCGCAATGCGGCAGCCAGACGCTCAAGCGGCTTTGGGTTTGCCCGTGTCTTTCTTTTCACTTTCTGCTTTGCGGTGCTTTCCTTCGAACAAGATCACCTACTACCCTGCCTTTGTTCCAAGCAGCAGGCTTGAAATCTGCTGCGGTGACAGAGGCCGGCTTGGCTGCGAGACCAAAGGCCCTCAGAGCGCCTATAGATAGCGGCGTGGCCTGCGGGTTGGAGCTGCCTACATGGCGGCATGCATGGCGCGGTTCGATCGCACGTGTCAAGCATTTTTGCTGCCTTGGGCCGTTTTGCACGACTGGGATCTAGCCGCTTTGCACGACTGGGATCTAATAAGCCGTGTTGCCTTGCTTTGGGCTTGCGCATGTAGGTCTGCTGGCTTGCCCTCGTGATGCCAAAACGCTGCGAGGCTAAACCAATCTGCTTGGTGCGCCAGCAAAACCAAAGCTCAGTTTGCTGAAGCCTGCATGGACCAAAGCTTCAGTACGCCGCAGCCAGGCCTTGCCCTTGTGCCAAAGTGTGTCACGCTTTCGCTGCGACTCGTGGATCAGTTTCTTGCGCCGGGCTTGCGTGGGTGCAAACACTGGAGGAGCAAGAGCCAGCGGATATGAAGCTTGGCGTCGCGCTGCTGCCGCGGCCAGTTGCGCGTCAGCAACGTAAATCCGGCCGCGGCCTGCGAAGTGGGAAGAACGGCTGTGTCAGATCCTTGTTCTTGGTCAATCAGAGGAGAAAGGTCTAGAGCGAAGCTCCACGCACGGGGCTGCAGCATATTGACGTCTGCTGAGGATGCTGCGGGCCCCCGTGAACGGATTGCCACAGAGCAGTGCAAAGACCCCTGCGTGGCGCAGAGCTTCAACGCGCTGCAGCTGGACCCTGCCTTTGCGCAAAAGCGTGTCGCGCAGGCTCCCATCTCGACCGGCCAGCTGGTGATGGCGAAGCCCTAGGATAAAGGGGAACTGAAAGGAAATGAAGGGACATAGGTATTTTCTGCAGATGCAAGGATTTGCAGTATAGTGGAATATGGGAAAGCCAAGGACGTCAAGCCAAACAAATGAACGTGAAGGAAGGGGCATGAACAAATATCGGGGAAATGAAGTGAAAGACAATGAAAGGACATGACAAGAGACATGAAGGTAGAAATGCAGGCAAAAGCAAGGACAACTGGAAGTGATTGAACGTGTAAGATTGGAAATGAAATGAAAGGTGAAGGAAACTGCAGACACATGAAAGGGAAGCGAAGGGGAATAAAGGGAACTGGGAGGGAAATAAGCGCGGGCAAGGGTAAAGAAGATTTTCTGGTAAGCAACGCCAAGATCGCTTTTCGGGTTTCCGGTTGCGGAGCTCCAGGAACCCCTAGAAAGTAAAGACCGTGCGGGTTGGAGACTCCTGGTTAGTTGTACATGTTGGCCTTTTCGGGCGGTTCTTGGCGTCGTCTGCTTGGCCTGCTTTGTGGAATGCCACCCAGCACTTTGCAAAGATGGCTGGCCAATCAAGCAAAATGTGGAAAACGTAGCAGTTCTGAGCAGGTGCTCTTGAGCGGACGCTTTTGATTTGGCACACATGCGCGCAAGGCGGAGCGGGCGCTTTTGAGCGAAAGTGCCTATCAATTGCAAGCGTTTGCGCAGTTCTCACAGGCATGCATGTTCACGTTTGTGGGTTCAGTGCCACACGGGCGCAAACCAGCTTAGTTTGGCACGGAGCCCTTTTTGGCTGGCCGGAACGCGCTCAAACATGGTTGGTAGACATGAATCCAACCGTGGCACACCGCTGAGCTAGTTGATGGGCCCAGCGATTCAGTTTGCAGCTCTCGGATCTGTTTTTGGGCCCGGAAAACGCAAACGGCCGTGCTTATTTTGCCAGTCTTGAGCAGGGTGCCAGCACAGGGGCCGCTTATTTGCTGTGAGCATCAGGCTGCCCTACCGCAAACCCTGCAAACAAGCTTGCTTGTGGCGTTGCACACAGGTCCTTGCCAGAAGGTGTCAGCCTTGCAGCCACAACGGCCCCCACCACGTTGGGGTCCTGGCTTCAAACACTAAAAGTGGCGATGGTTAAGAGTTGTGAATGACAGGAGACCGGCCCATTGCTTTTGTGGGGTTCCGTTACCTTTGAAACAAACAAGTTTTTTCTTTGGGCGGCCACACGCGTGGGCTCAAACGCCATGAAGCTGCCATACAAACCACCTTGAGAAGCCGGACACGTGCAGGAATACAACAGGCTGAAAAGGCTTTGGAAACCATCGGGCAGAACTTTAGTTGAATTCAAAGGACCCGCACCCCAGGAATTGCTTTGAATATCCCATCGCATTGGCTGGCGTGCGCCCCGCGTATCAAATCTTTCAAGTTTCACCAACAGCAGGCCCAAGGCAAACCAAGCTCGAGCTTCCCGTGACCAATTTCTCAAGCTCTGTGCGTGCAGATCGAAACAAACAAATGACGGTTTCAGATTCCTTGTTCCGGAAACCGCCATCTTCGCGAGAAACAAATTCACTTTCGCGGGCCCCATCGCGAAACTTTCGCGGGGCTTTTTTCAGAACATTCATCACACAAGTAGTACACGAAGTACACTTTCGCAGCCCCAGCTCGAAAGTCGCAGCTCTTCAGTGCGAAAGTAGTACTAAAAGTAAATTTCCGCAGCCCCGCTTGAATACGAAAGCAGTACACGAACTAAACTTCCTCAGCCTCGAAAGTCAAAACTTTTCAATATATATACGAAAGTAGTACACAAAGTGAACTTCCGCAGCCCCAGCTCCAGGCGCAACCTTTCAGTTCCAAAGTAGCACGCGAAGCCCGCTTCCGCAGCTCCAGCTCACAAGCCGTGAGCTGCGCACGAGAGGACCCGTTGGCCTCATGTCCGGAAGGAAACTGGCGGGAGGTTCGTCGACTTTCGCGAAACTTTCGCGGATCTTACGCCAAACATTCGCGAAAATCCAGCTTCAAAACTCCCAGAAGCTGGTTTCTGCTGGCTGGGAGTTGCTTTTGAAGCGGTGTATTCTTGCGGCAACCCTCAGGTTGCGCGTTCTCTGGCCAACTTTTGTCTGCGGGCATTCTGCGCGCACTGCCGGTAAATACACATGGTTGGTTCGTCACTCCAGCTTCCTTTTAGCAAGCCACACAAAACTTTCGCGGAAAAAAAACTTTCGCGAGCCCGTCCGCGGAACTTTCGCGAAGGTCAACGCTAAGACCAAAAGGTCTTCCCCTTCATAGCTCAATACAAGGCCCTTTCGGACGACTCTCAAATAATTTATTGGAACCTCGTTGTGGTTTTGGGGACGAGCTCTGCACCGACGCATCCCGCGCGAGCCTTGGCGGAGGCACGGAATGCCTTGGTCTGCACCATGTACTCCCGAGGATCACGGCCCAAGGCCGCCTGGCCCTCCGAGTGCGCGTAGTCCGCCCGGTAGGTGTCCTTAGGACAACAACAAAAACAACAAGCTCAGGTGATACCCCCAACAGCGTGCGGTGCTCTTTTCAGTGCTCACGCCCGCAGAACTGGAACCCTGGTGGAACCCTCGTGGAGCCCTTGTGGAACCTTACCTCAGGGCCGCCCCGGACCACCCCGAAGCCTATCTGGGCTGAGAACAAGAACAAGAACAAGAACAAGAAAAAACAACAACACCACCACAACAACAACACCAACAGCAACACCCACACCAACAACAACACCAACACCACCACCATCAACAACGACAGCAGCAACAACAACATCATCGTCATCCTCATCATCAACAACAAACAAACAACAACCACCAAGCAACAAACAACAAACAACAAGAAACAAGCAACAAGCAACAAGCAACCAAAAACCAACAATCAACAACACCAACAACACCAACAACACCAACAACACCACCAACACCACCAAGACCACCAACACCACCAACACCACCAACACCACCAACACCACCAACACTACCAACACCACCAACAACACGGCCCACAGCCGCGCGCGCGACAACACCCCAGCCCTTTAGACAGCTCCCAAATGCTGCCCCTGCCACGCAAGCGCAAGCCCAGGTGCACGAAGTACTGCGCCTGCCACGATTTCAGCACCTCCAAAGCGCTGTGCCTGCCACGGGAGATGGGGGCCCACAGCCGCGCGCGCCACAACATCCCAGCCCTTTAGACAGCTCCCAAATGCTGCCCCTGCCACGCAAACGCAAGCCCAGGTACATGAAGTACTGCGCCTGCCACGACTTCAGCACTTGCATCTCCAAAGTGCTGCGCCTGCCACGCGAGATGGGGGCCCACAGCCGCGCGCGCCACAACATCCCAGCCCTTTAGACAGCTCCCAAACGCTGCCCCCGCCACGCAAAGGCAAGCCCAGGCGCACGAAGTACTGCGCCTGCCACGATTTCAGCACTTGCCTCTCCAAAGTGCTGCGCCTGCCACGCGAGATAGGGGGCCCACAGCCGCGCGCGCGACAACGTCCCAGCCCTTTAAACAGCTCCCCAATGCTGCCTCTGCCACGCAAACGCAAGCCGTGTGTGAGTGAGTGAGTGTGTGTGAGTCAGTGTGTGTGAGTGAGTGTGTGTGAGTGAGTGTGTGTGAGTGAGTGAGTGTGTGTGACTGAGTGTGTGTGAATCAGTGTGTGTGAGTGACTGTGTGTGAGTGAGTGACTTTGTGCGGGTGAGTGAGTGAGTGAGTGTGAGCGAGTGTGAGTGATTGAGTGTGTGTGTGAGTGAGTGTGTGTAAGTGAGTGTGTGTGAGTGAGTGTGTGTGTGAGTGAGTGTGTGTGAGTGAGTGTGTGTGAGTGAGTATGTGAGTAAGTGTGTGTGAGTGAGTGTGTGTGAGTGAGTGTGTGTGAGTGAGTGTGTGTGAGTGAGTGTGTGTGAGTGAGTGTGTGTGAGTGAGTGTGTGTGAGTGAGTGAGAGCAACGGGGCGGCAGCGGCGGCGGGAGTCGGGCGCGGAGTGTGTGTGAGTGAGTGAGTCGGGCGCGGCGGCGGGGGTCGGGCGCGGCGGCGGGAGTCGGGCGCGCAGCGGTAAAAATAAGAACCCCACACAAAGATGAACAATACCAAGAACATCTACAACAACAACAGCAACACCAACAACAACAGTAACAATAATAACAACAACACCTTACCACCAAACAACAAAAACACCAACAGCAACAACAACAACAACAAGAACATCACCACCACTACCACCCAACACCACCAACAACAACAAGAACAACAAGAACAACAACACTACCGCCAAAAAACAACAAGAACAAGAACAACAACAACAACACCACCAACAACAACAACCGCAACAACAAGAACAAGGACAAGGACAAGGACAACACCACCAACAACAACAAGAACAAGACCAAGAACAAGAACAACAACACCACTACCAGCAAACAACAAGAACAAGAACAAGAACCAGAACAAGAACAAGTACAAGAACACCACTACCACCAAACAACAAGAACAAGAACAATAACAATAACAAGAACAACAACACCACTACTACCAAACAACACGCACACGAACAAAAACAATAACAACAACACCGCTACCACCAAACAACATGCATAAGAACAAGAACAAGAACAACAACACAACTACCACCAAACAGCAAGAACAATAACAAGGACAGGAACAAGAACACCACTACCCCCAAACAACAAGCGCAAGAAAAAGACCAAGAACAAGAACAAGAACAAGAACACCACTACCACCAAACAACAAGAACAAGTACAAGAACAAGAACACCACTACCACAACACAAGAAGCACAAGATCAAGAACAAGAACAACAACACCACTATTACCCAACAACAAGCACAAGCACAAGAACAAGAACAAGAACATCAACACCACTACCACCAAACAAGAAGAGCAAGAACAAGAACAAGAACAAGAACAACAACACCACTACCAACAAACAACAAGCACAAGAACAAGACCAAGACCAACAACACCACTACCACCAACCAACAAGAGCAAAAACAAGAACAAGAAAAAGACAAAACCACGAACAAGAACACTACTACCACCACACAACAAGAACGAGAACAAGAACAAGAACAAGAGCAAGACTGCCACCAAACAACGACAACAAGAACAAGAACCAGAACAAGAAGAAGAACACACGCAACAACACCACTGCCACCAAAAACAAGAACAAGAATAAGAACAATAACAAGAACAAGAACACCACTACCACCAAACAACAATCACAAGAACAAGAACAACAACAACACCACTACCACCAAACAACAAGAACAAGAACAAGAACAATAACAAACAAGAACAAGAACAATAGCAAGAACAAGAACAGAACAAGAACAACAACACCACTACCACAAAGCAACAAGAACAATAACAATAAACATAACATGTGATTCGGGCACGAGCCTGTGCCCAGGCAATGGGTAAGTTGGGGTAAACAAGCCACAAAAGAAAGGTTCCCCAAAAGCAAGCCAATCCCCGGTCCCAAAGATCAGGGTTTCCCACACACCAGAGAACAACAACCAAAAGGAAAATACCAAAACAAGTAAACAAGTACCCGCAACCTTGATCGACGATGAACCGCACGGGCAGACCCCACCAATCTGCCCCGGGCCGATGTCTCTTTCTCCGCGCGACGGACCCGCAAACTTGAGCCAAACATCACAGGTCAGTCACTACCGCGACATCCCTGATGATGAAACGAATCATGGCTAATCACACCCCCCTCACGAGGAGCCCGTCATATGACGGGTGGAGCGTGCCATTTACTGATAGGATTTAACTGCTCGCATGCGTCCGCAAACAGCTGGACACTACCGCCGTCAGCGGTGGAGCAAACCCACAAAGGCAGTTGCGCGACATCCCGGGCATTAAATTCCCGCCACCACCCCGAATTAATCGGGGTAACGCTGTCCAACATACCTTGTGGAAAAGTCCACATGACGACACTAGGCCACAACTGTTTGCATCAACAATGCAAGTAGTTCAATTCTTATCAGAAGCCATGAAATAAAGGATAACGAATGTTCATCAGTACCCTCGCCTATCGGGAAGAGGTACCCCTGACCATGCGTATCTGAAAAATATTTGAATTCCGCAAACTTGGGAGTACCTTGCATCCCCTCTCACTCACACTACTTCATGATGAGCACGACCAGCAGCCGAGCAGCGGTGCGGGAGAGACATGATCTCCGCGCCTCAGCGGTCCGGAAGGAACATCATCACCTCCGCACCGCGCCGACCATCGGAGAATGGACGCAAGCCTATCGGCCGCAATCCCCGTGACTCAGCCTATCGGCTATCGTCACGTCTTCTCCGGTCACGTCCGCCCCTCGCACGGTCCCTGTCACGATCCCTCTCGGATCTCCTGCGATCATCTCGCCTTCGATCTCGCTCTCGATCGAGCGAATCATCATCACGACGATCTCGAACATCGTCCCTCCTCCGGTCTCGATCTTCGTCGCGCCGCGGTCGATATCTGCGCCTTCTCGATTCTCGGGAATCCCTGGTGTCCAGAGTCCTAACGGACCTCCGAGAAGGAGTACGGGAAACATCCGAATCTCGACGCCCTCTCCCGAGGCGAGAGTTTGTCACAATCTGGTTGAGGACCTCCAGTGCAGAAGCATTCTCACCATTCCTGATGAAATCTCTGACCTGCCTATTTAGCACCCTATTGGATGACATCGTCAGGAAGGCGTCCACCACCGAACTCTCCGGCAACACCAGGAAATGACCCTCCACCGAGCTCGCAGCAGCTCGCTCCGCCGACTGCAACCTGACCTCACTCCCTTCAGGCTTCATCGCCATCGCCTTAGAGGCCGTCAAGGGCGCTACCGCATCCTTTGCCGAAGACCTACCAAGCGCAGAGTGAAGATCATCTCCACTCCTGGTCCACATCCATGTCGTCCTTCTTCTCCTCCGCCATGGAAAGTTTCCCTATATCAGGAAGAGTCTCGTCGTCGTCCTTTCCTGACCCGGCACCCCTATCGGGGGCCGGCTCGGTCCTCTGTTGCCCCGATGAGCTCGCCTCCGGGTCCATCTCGCCCTCGTCATCAACATGGGGTCGCTTTCCCCATACGATCTTCGTCTTTGGCTTCAGGGGAACGGCAACACCTCCAGCCATGTGGTGTCCGGGCCAGGTAGCTCCATCGGGCTCATCCTCAAACCATGACTTCCCGAATGGGTTGCCATCCCTACCGAGGATCTCCTTCCTATCGGCAGAAGACCCCGAGTGAGACAACGCCGAAACATGGGACAGCATGATTTCAGCCGCTGATTGCGCCAGCGTGTCAGGCATCTGCTCCCTCGTCGGGATAGTCCGCAACTCCGGAGCAAGGTGACCGGCTGAAAGGCGCGGTACCCAACCGCTTGCCTAGTACTGCTTCGTTCAGCGCGTTGAAGTACTTCTGCAACTTCTCCAGCATCGCCGTTGCCGCCGTCAGCTGAGGATGGAACAGAGGCATACGCCA